CGGTACTTAACAACAACAATCCTTTAATGAGGCATGGCCACCAAGGTTTAACCCTCAACTCTTTGACTAGGGACCAGGAGACCCCCTCAGATGTCAGCCCCTCATCTTCTCCAGACCCTGACCCCCCATTGCTGAGTAGCTGCTATGCTTTGGAGAAACAACAGATACAAATATCTGATGCCACTAAAAAGTGACACGTTTCCAGGCTCATTAAGAGGTAAGGTCCCAGCCTACTCATTAGGCCTCTGGCTTGCTATCAGAGGCTGTTGTTATGTGCCATCGAGTCGCCTGTGACTCAGAACAACCTTATGTACAACAGCCCTAAAACCTACTCTATCCTGTGCCAATCTTATTGTCTCTGACACATCTGTTCCCAGAGTCTTTGAATGCAGAGCACCTGGTCTAATGAATGTAGCCAGTGAGTGTTAGGAAGGGCACGTCTTTAAGATGTGCTTGTAAAGGTAGAGGGGTCAGTGAAAGAGAGGAAGACCCTCACCAAGACAGATCGACACAGTGACTATTACAATGAACTTGAGTACATCATGCATGGATAGTGAGGGCGCACAGAACAGGGCAAGGTTCAGATCCGTTGCTCATAGGGTTGCTATGAGTCGTAGTCAACTGTACAGTACCTAACAACAATGCTGTTAGTAAACACACACACTTTGTAAAGGGTATTTTCAGTACTTTGGTGCAAAGAATTTGCAGACCTCAACACTGAGCAAAACATTTTTACATCAGACCTACACACTTTCCCAGAAACCAGTCCTCTGGGCCTTGCCTGAGGTTTTCTTTCCCCCTCAGATCTCTCCAAGATTTGTTCATCAAAGTAGATCAGTGGGTCCCACTGGGAAACAGCTGGGGACTTCTCAGGTCATCAGCTGAATGATATAAAGGAAGGGCAAGGGTGACCTAAAGAGCATCACCATGAAAAAGAACTTTCTGGAAACCATTGCCCACTCACTGTCTTGGATGGGATACATTTTTCTGTATGGAGAGAACAACTCCATCCCACTCTTGGAGGCTGTCTTGGGCTAGGTTCTCTAGCAGAGCAAGATCCATGAGGAACAAAACACCTGTGTCATCTATCAGAAAAATCCTCCTTGTTCTTGAGTTGGAACAGACTCACAGCTGATCACAGCAGTTTTTCAAAATGTCACGTGAGGTGGGAAGAAGATTGTCCATTTTTCTCTTTTGGAGCAACAGGTGGATTCAAACCACCTGCCTTAGGGTTGGCAGTGTAACTCCTTACACACAAAGCCATCAGAATTCCTTGTCTGTTTCTACCCCTTCCTGTCTTTTGCTCTCTCTCCCCTTCCCACTCCCACTCCCTTCATCCATTCTTCTCTCTCTCTCACACACACATACACACACCCTTGTGCAAATATATGTTATGGTGGTGTTAAATGCCACCCCATTTTAAGCTCTTTGTGACCTTATGCATAACAGAATAAAATACTATCCAATCCTGTTGTTGCTAGGTACCATCAAGTAGTACTAATCCTCATTTTTGCAGCCATTGTCAATCCATCTTGTTGAGGATCTTCCTCTTTTTAATGACATAAAGAGATTTATTTCAATGAAATGGCTTACATAGTATGGAAGAGGCTAGCCCCAACTCTGTAAGTCAGGTGTCAGGCTGGAGGCTTCTTTTAACTCACATCAGTTGCAAAAGCTCACAAATCTTAAATATACAGGTCAGATGGCAGGCTGCTGGCTCATCTTCCAAGAATTAGAAGTCAGAGGATGATTAATCTGATTCAAGCCACCCTCAAGGAAACAGATTGGTTTTCAATTAATTGGCTATTCACAAAAGATCACTAAATAGAGGATGATTACATTATGCTATGTTAAGGAAGAGCAATTCTTTCAGTGTCTGCCAAATCACTGAGAATCATAGCCTAGCCAAGTTGACAAATAACATTAATCATTACATATATTGGGACTGGGGCTGGTGCCGATGTGTTGATGGTATATATCTAAAAGGTGCTAATCACATTCCCCTATGTTTCACGTATCTAACTTCCTTTGAATTGAAGTTCAACTGACCAGCATTTTTCAATACATCTAGAGTTCGTGCTCCAGGCAGCTCCTGCTCTGTCTGGTAAGTTGGCCTGTTTTCTTTAGGCAGGGGCTTGGGAGGAGGCATGTAGTCACATGGTGAGCACAGTCATTCCATTCCTCAGGACCTACATAAAGAACTCATAAGTCTTTGCATTAGCTGTAAACAGGCTGGTCCTTGTGCAGGAGAAAGATGAGGCACTCTGTTCTTGTAAAAGATTTCCAGCCCAGGAAACCCATGGGAGAGTTCTATGCTGTCCTAGTTCTGCTATGAGCCTAAATTGATGAGGGTCAATTGACTAGGGTTGGATTATGAATCTTTGAGAAGATGAAGGTATGTTTGATCAAAGCCCTATTATGTTTAATTGCTTCATGTGCTTTTCAAAGTTTGATAGTGAATAAGGATGACCGAAGAGTTGTGTTGGAGATGAGTATTGACTATCTCGTGGACTGCCAAAAGAACAAACAAATATGTCTCTGAGAAAGTGAAACCATGCTGCTCTTTAGAGGTGAGGATAGCAAAGATTACTCTCACATGTTTTGGGCATGTTGTCAGGAGGGGCCTGTACTTGGAAAAGGGCATTATTCTGGGAAAGGGGAGTGGCGATCCACAGGATAGGGCTAGGTTCAGATGGCTTCTAAAACCCACAACAACGACCTTTTGTTATTTGCTTATAAGAGGTGACTTTGTCAGAAAAGATTCATAAATTTTTCAATGTCTAGGGTTATTTTGTTTTGTTTCTTTAAAGAAGCTTCTAGGTGGGCTGAAACCTCCGTGTTTTAATGGATGCTCCAAAGCCCAGCATTTTCGAAGATAGGATGGTAATTTTAGCACCTATGAGGACCTATAATGCAACACAGTTCAAATTCACCAGCTGCTCCACAGGGAAAAAGATGGGCAGTCTTTTCCATGCGATTAACTGTCTCTGATTACCTTCTGGAGGGTCAGCTACGGTTTGGTTCCTACTCCACGGTAAACAACAATGAGGATCTATGAGAGACTGCGGAGAAAGATGAGCAACCTCCTCTCAGAGATTTACTGCCTCTGAAAACTCGCTGGAGGTTATGCGTTAGTTCTGACTCAAAGGTAGAAGAGAGGCCACAATCCAGTACTGCACATCTTGTTTCTGCACTTTGATGAGTTGTCAGAACAGCCTCACACACGTCTCACACAGAAGGGTGCGAGGGAGAAAGCCCGCACAGATGAGAAAGTGAGCGTGTACGTGGTGAGCTGACCTTCAGGTTGTACTTTTGGGGTTCACCAGCTTTAACTCTGTAAGTAGCCTCCCAGCAACTTGGGGGTTAAAACCACCTGCAGCTGTAATTGCTCCCGGCAGGGGGCGCCGCGCCGTGAGCACGCCAGTCGGGCAGTCCGGCTCCGCGGGCCTCCAGCGCCCGGCGCCCCTGACGTCACCGACCCACGGTCGCCAGGGTGACGGCCTCATCAGCGCGCGCGTCAGAGCCTCCAGTCTCTTGGCAACGACCCGATCTCCGGCTCTCCCTCCGCCTCGCGCGCGACTGCGCGTAGGTCTAGCGTCAAAGCAACGTCAATGAGAATGTATCAATCTGGCGGTAGCGGTGGGGCGGATCCCAACTGGGGCGGGGCAGGAGGGCAAGGTAGATGGAAAGAGGGCGGGGCCTAGCCGGTAGCAGGCAATTCAGCGCGGGGGTTAGCTTTGCTGCCGCAGGAGGAGCCGGCTTCGGGGGGCGGGGCCCAGAGGGCGGGGCTGAGGCGCAGGGCAGGACCTTGCTGCGCAGGGGCGGGGCCCCCGGGGGTGGGAGCGGGTAGGCTGGTGCGGGGCAGTGCTAAGCGGTGGTGGGGCGGACAGAGGGCGGGGCCTAGAGACTGTGGGCGGGGAGACGGCGCGGCTGCGGAGGGCGCGCGGCGCCGGCCTCAGAGCTGACATGCGGCGGTGGCTGGGGCGGCGGCGGCAAAATCGGCGGTGGCAGCGTGAGCAGCAGCAGCAGCAGCCGGAGAGGCGCAGGCGGCGGGTGGACGACTGTAGCTGCGGGTCAGTTAGCGATCCTGGCCTGCTAGCTCCGATCTAGTGTCCTAAGGGGCCCGCCCGAGGACGGCGGAGGTGAGCAACGGGAGGCTCGGCGGCAGCAGCGGCGTTGCAGCCGGATTTGGCCAGCGGCATGGGGCTCGGAGGGGGCAGCCTGGTGGGGATGCGGCTTCCGACGGCCGCCCGGGGTCCTGGCAACCTCACCGGTGCGCACGCGTGGGTTTGCCTGGGAGAACGCCTCTCTGGCCACCGGCTGGGATCCCCTTTGTTATGGGACGGCAGTAGGTATGGGAGTGAGATCTACGGTCCGGGGCCGGTAGTGGAGCCCTTGTAAGGGCAGATATTGGAGGGGGTACTGCACACTTGCTCAGACAAGGATATCTAGGAGTTCAGAGTGGAGCCGATCGCGGGTGACAGGGAGCGGGCGTGGGAACTGATCTACAAGCCCCGTGTCAAGAGGAGTTTGCGAGTCCAGAGTAGAACTGACCGCTGGGCGCCGGTGTTGGATGTGATCTTAATACCCGTTTAAGGGAGGGAGTCTTGACGCTGGAGTGAAACCGGGCGGATGGGGACAAGTGTGAGAGGGGAGCCGCGCGCTCGGCACTTCACTTTTTAAGTCTGGAGTGGATCTGATGCAGGCGGCGAGCTGTGCGCTCACCACTGGAGTGAGTGAGGCGGGTGCAGGCAATCCGAGCGGAGAACAACAGCGCAGGGAACCGGCGGGGAGGCTCCTGGTCCTAGGGTCCAGACGTGGAAGGTCTGAACTTTGGAGTTTCAGGGTCTTAGACTCAAATAGCCTCGCGCACGGAGTCCGGGCTGGGGAACCCGGATCTGGAAGGTGTGGTTCGGGGAATTCGGACACGGGAGTTCGGGATCGGAGGCTGATGCGCGAACCTTTTCCCCACCTGTGCAGCAGGTGCGGTTGCCAGAGCCATGGTGATCATGTCAGAGTTCAGCAGGGCGGCAGCGGGCTCAGGCCAGGGGCAGCAGAAGCCCCTCCGAGTGGGCTTTTACGACATCGAGCGGACCCTGGGCAAAGGCAACTTCGCGGTAGTGAAGCTGGCCCGGCATCGAGTCACCAAAACCCAGGTGCGTGCATGGCGGCGCGCAGACCTGACGTGGGGCGCGGGGGACAGAGCCACAGAGGGGAGATAGGATCTTCCCGTTCTAAATAGACGTCGCAGGGTGCCTGTGTGACTGTGCGACTGACTTAATTAATGTCCAAACGCAGGCGAGATCTGGTTTGGTAAAAAGGAAAAACCCCTCCACCTTATTATTTCTGCATAATTCGTACAAATATACATAGTAAAAAGCTATTGACCAAAAAACCCTGGGAGCTTGCTATCTAGAGAGTTAGAACTGAAGTGCTAGGAATTCACTGACCCTGGGAACACTTCAGGGGTTTATTTAACTTTGTTTTATTACAATGACTGTTTAATTATTCTTACCCCCCAGTTTTTCTGTGACCTTTTGGGTAGTGTATTTTAGAATTTTATCAGCCAAAAGAGGAATGTATAAATTAGGTTAAGGAAGGGTTTCTGTTGTTTGTTTTTAAGCAAAAGGTCCTTTTTCTCTTAAAAAATCTGTAGGTTGCAATAAAAATAATTGATAAAACAAGATTAGATCCTGGCAATTTGGAAAAAATATATCGAGAGGTTCAGATTATGAAGCTTTTGAACCATCCTCATATCATAAAACTTTATCAGGTAAGAGTCCAATTTGTTTTCACTGTTAATTCTAGAAATTAATCTTTTTTTCTTTTTGGTATGTATTTATGGGGAGAACATTTTAGCTCAATAAATTAATTTTTGTGAATGTGCTTTTTAATATTTTTTTTATTATTTTCCTGCTTTGAGATCATATGTGACATTTGCATCATTAAAGTATTATTTAGTATTTTAATTTGTTGAAATTTTAAATGCAGTAGAGGTTGGTTGCTATATTAACTGTGAAAACAGCCAGTCTGTAATGTCATATCTGGCATTTAATAAAGACACATTGAAGGAAACTAGAAACTTCTTTTACAGGTATTAAATTGGAAACCAGCTACAGTTAAAAGGTTTTCTTAAACTTGGTTTGGTATGAGCCTCAGGGAGCATTTGTCTTCTCTCTTTCAACCTTTCTACCTGAAACCAGAGTGTTGAAAGTACTTTTGCAATATTAAGAGCAAGGAATTTGTCATTTAATCCAAGTAACATACCTCACACTATCAATCTGTTGATGTTTGTGGTGACTTTATTTTTATGTTGAAATGAATAAGTTATAGAAGCATTGATTTAATTAGGTCAACGTCTGCCCCAATAATAAAATTATCACTTTTGCAAAGATGAAATCAAGTAGTTTGCAAAAGAATAAATTCTTTGCAGATACCAGTGTTTCACCCGTTTGTATCAGGTATACTTTCAGTGATTCTCAGGAAGCTTTGTGGATATGAGATGAAATATTTGTTCTAAACTGGCAAGCCTGGGTGAAAAATGTGGTTGATGTTATTAGTTGTAGTAAGGTTGATTCAGCTCATGTGGTCACCCACATGTGTACAGTGGAACTACGCTCAATATGGTTTTAAGGCTGTGACCTTTAAGAAATGTATTTTAGGCTTTTCTTCTAAGGCACCCCATGGTGAATTTGAACAGCTAGCTCCTTGACTGGTAGGTGAGTGCTTAATTTTTTAACAAGCACCACACAAGGTCTTCTTAAAAAGCGTGCTAGTAGGGTGAATTCTTAGTAATTGATGTTTCTCCCACAGAAGGTTGTGCTTCATTTTAAAAAAAGTAGTAACAGAATTATTAGCTTATATTTTCACTGACAGGATAGCTGATTTGGCGTCTTAAAGTGCAAAAGATACCTTATGCACTTGGCATTTTTTCTGTTATCATTTTTAAGTTGGGCTGCTGAGTTAAGAAGTTTCTTCAGTAATGCCTAATGTCAGTCGCTGGGAGAAGGGCCTTGCTCAATGCGCTGTTTATGTTTTGACTTTGCTGAAGGGCTGGGCCTTAATGTACTTTTCTGTCCTTTCTTCCTGCTCCTCCTTTCTCCCTGAGTTTGTGCAATGAAATCAATGAACTAAATGAATTACAAGTATGATTGATGTTAGAAGGCTCTTCTGCAGGTGAAATGTATTCTTGCCCTGTATGAGTCTGTGACTGTTTGGAAACTCTAGAATTCAGGAATGTAGCAAGGATTTTTATTACTCTGGTTTTGACACTCCTGTCTAATTTTCAGCCAGCTGGCACAGACCCCAGAACCCTGCTGAGATACTTTGCTCTTCCCCCATTAGGTTTTTGAAACTTTAAACATTTGTACTCTTAAGTCTTTCTTCTGAGGCAGCAGTGTCTTCTTTTTCTTGGAGAAAAAGATCAACAGAAGTCACTAGTTTTTACTGGTCATTCTCCCCCACACACAGAAGGTCAGTTACAAATTCAGCTAACCTTCTGGTATTCACTTTTCTTTTAGATGTATGGCTCAGCATAGCTGTCTTTAAGTTCTCTTTAAAAAAAAAAAACCTAAAAAACAAACTAATTACAACCTAAAAAGTATGTATCATTTCTCTTTCATCCTTTCTAAAATATTAAAATACATACTTGAATTTGATGTTTATCTTTTTTAATACCAAAATTTTAAATTTAGCTTTGCTTCTTAATTAGTTACAAGTTTTAAGTTTTTTCAGAAATTTTTTTTCCAACCTCAATTCTGTAATACTTTCCGTTAAAAACAATTATACAAGAGCAAATACAAAAAATATTAAATTATGGAAAAAAAGTCATTAAGGCTCCCTTTATATATATTATATACACTCAAACAAGTCAAGGTTTCTTTCAGAGTAGAAGAATAAAGTCAAATGTTATAGCTTAGAAAGCAACACTACTTTACTACTATGAGACTATAAAACACTGCACTATTCTTAAAAAACCTAGAGTGGAAAATGGAGCCAGTTTTGTCAAATAGTGGCTCAAAGCACAAACTGCTCGGATATGCAAGAAGTTTTTTCAGAAATTAATCCAAGTAATATAGAATTCCTAATCGAATGAACTTGTAGCCGTATATTGACACTGGCCACTGCTGCTGACTCATGTGGAGGGATTTGCTGGACAAAGGGCAGCCTATTGTATTTTACCTGGCAAACTGTCTTCTCTAAGCCTCATTTGTCATGTCAATAAAGCTGGTGGAAATGGGGTATTTGTTATTTATTCCGTTTCTTCTGGCTGTGAATATCAGCTTGAATAATCTGTAACCTGCTTGTTAGGCTTCTGAAAACAAAGTGCAAGGAGAAGGCTAGCAAGCCTGTTTTAGGTCTGTGCTTCAGGTGCCCACAAAAGGTGTCTAAGTGCAACGTGCAGTAATGTGTTGTTATGTGCCTTCAAGGCAGCACCATCTCACGGCTGACTCTTCATTGGGTTTCCAGATACAGAAAATTGCATGGGAGGAAATTGCCTCTACTTCTCCCATGGAGCAACTTGTAGATTCAAACCGTTTGCCTTTGGGTTGGCAGCAACCACTCCTTGCCAATAAGCCTCCATTAACATAATGACATAAAAAAGTTTTCATCTTTTTTTTTTTTTTTTTTTTAGTGCAAAGATAGGTCAAGATAGGCAAGCTAGTGAGGAATTTACCTTAGATTTTTTAATATCCCCAACTAGTTGCTGTTGAGTTACCTCCCACTCATGGCAGCTCCTCCATGTTTGTCAGTATAGAGTGTGCTCCATAGGATTTTTAAGTAACTAATTTTTCAGACATAAATTGCCAGGCCTTTCTTCCAAGGTGCCTTTGGGTGGACTTGAACTTCAAACTTTTGGTTATACGCAAGCTCGTTAATTCTTTGTACTACTTGGGCACTATGCTTTCTGACTTGCAATACCTTTATGTTTGGGTTTTTTTACAGAAGCTTTTATCTTTCCTTTTTAAAATGATGAATGCAGTCTTACTAGAGAAGTGGAAAGCTAGCTGGATTTTTAGTGGATTGCTTGTAATGTTGATGTTTCCTTTTTGTGTTTAAATAGTAAGTCTTTTTCTTTTTAGGTTATGGAAACTAAGGATATGCTTTACATTGTGACTGAGTTTGCAAAAAATGGAGAGATGTTTGGTAAGTTGTTTGGGTATTATTATTATTATTATTATTATTATTATTATTTTTATAATAGATCTTCTAGACGTGTTCAGGGTTTGGCCGACATGCCTCTTACATTCCACTGCTGTCTATAATTGTTCCCAGAAGAGCGAGCAGACCCCCAGACCTTGTCTCATCTCTCCTCAGATTATTTGACCTCCAATGGGCACCTGAGTGAGGAGGAAGCGCGGAAGAAGTTCTGGCAGATCTTGTCAGCCGTGGAGTACTGCCATAGCCACCACATTGTCCACCGGGACCTCAAGACAGAGAACCTGCTGCTGGACAGCAATATGGACATCAAGCTGGCAGGCACGGACGCTCATGGGCGCCCAGCGCCAGGGGGCTTGGGGTGTTGTGGCAGGGCCCAGAACGGCACCTGTGTTCCCAGCTCACCTAATATCCTTCTTTTCCTTTCAGATTTTGGATTTGGAAATTTTTACAAGCCTGGAGAAGCCTTGTCCACGTGGTGTGGGAGTCCCCCATATGCTGCCCCAGAGGTCTTTGAAGGGAAGGAGTACGAGGGCCCTCAGCTTGACATCTGGGTACGAGGCCTGTGTGGGGCTATTCCATGGTGGTTGCCTCGGGGTGTCTGTGCTATGGCGCGGACTTTGAGATGTCTGCTGACAGCTCACCTGCTTTGCTTGGTCTCGACAGAGCCTTGGGGTTGTGCTGTATGTGCTGGTCTGCGGCTCGTTGCCCTTTGACGGGCCCAACCTGCCCACACTGCGGCAGCGGGTGCTGGAGGGCCGCTTCCGCATCCCCTTCTTCATGTCCCAAGGTAGGTAGGCAGCGATCCTTGTTTGGGAAGAGGGGAGAGTTCATTTCTTGAGCTACCTACTGTCCTTCATGTAGTGAAGGCTGTGAATCAGCCTGTGTTACTGCAGAATGTAGACATGATGCCTGCAAAAGCCCCAGCCTTTCAGGGTTCATTGCCCTCCTTCTATAGTAGGGCCGGTCACCTTGTGAACCAGTTGGCTACTTGCTTGTTTGGGAATCCTTTTTCAGGCCAATACGTAAGATCTTGTTCATAATGCCCTCCTCCTTCCCCTTTAATTTTTACCCACTGGCCTGTTCATAGCATATGCTTTTCCCTTAAAGATTTGTAGCATAATGAGTTGTGGGTTGTTGCTAAAGTGTGTGATCACAGAGCAGGGGGAATGACCAGAGGATTTTCTCTGCTGGACATTAGAAGGATTAAGACCATGCCCTTCCAGATCCTTCAGATGGTGGCTTCCTCAAGGGGGAGCATCTGAGCTCTTAACTTTGGCATCTGGCCTTAACGACTCTAGTGTTCTCTTATCTTGTGGGTGAGGGAGCTGATGTGAGGGTCTGAGGAAGGTAGCCTGGCCTGCAGATGGGGCTCATCGCCTCTGTTCCATCCTCTGCAGACTGCGAGTCTCTGATCCGCCGTATGCTGGTGGTGGACCCTGCTAAGCGCATCACCGTGGCCCAGATCAAGCAGCACCGCTGGATCCAGGCAGCGCCTGTGCTAACGCAGTCTCCCTCCTTGGCCTTTGTGACCCATGATTACAACTCCAACCTGGGTGACTACAATGAGCAGGTGCTGGGCATCATGCAGATGTTGGGCATTGACCGGCGGAGGACCGTGGAGGTGAGCTGGGTGCCACCCCCTGGCAGGAGAGGGTGGGAAGTGAGTGAAGTTCTTACCCACTCATGAAATGGGGCTGTGGCTAATTGGAGGGCTAGCTTATCTGCTGCTCCAACCTCCAGTGGCTCCTCAGCCCCCAAGAACAGCTCTGGGAATTAAATCTTAGGGCCTTATGCTTCTCCCAGAACCATGACCTTGTTCTCCTGTGCACCTTCATGCTAAATTCTGTTTCTCTCCTGCAGTCATTGCAGAATAGCAGCTATAATCACTTCGCTGCCATCTATTACCTCCTCCTCGAGCGGCTGAAGGAGTACCGGAGCTCCCAGCTGCCCACTCGCCCAGGGCCTGCCCGGCAGCCCAGGCCCAGGAGCTCCGAGCTCAGTGGTTTTGAGGTGAGACCAGAAACCTCCCTCTGAGACATGTTCTGGCCCTTCTGCCTGGGGCCACCCCTAGAATTGTAAGCACTTTGCTCAGGTATACCTGTCTTTTCCAACTCCCAGGTATCCCAGGAGGGCCTCACTGGTGACCCCCTCCGTTCACCCCTGCTGTGTCCACAGCACCAGACCCTGGTGCAGTCGGTCCTGCAGACTGAGATGGACTGTGACCTCAACACCTCACTCCAGGTGAGCCTGCTGTGAGATGGTTCCTCGGAGTTGCCAGATAGTGAATCTCTCGACACATTCAGTTCCCCCAGAGGCCCAGAGGATAACTGATGTTTCTGTCTGCTCAGCCGTTGTTCTTCCCTGTGGATGCCAACTGTGATGGAATGTTCCAGCACCGCTCCGTCTCCCCCAGCAGCCTGCTCGACACGTCCATCAGCGAGGAGGCCAGGCAGGGCCCAGGCCTGGGCTTTGAGGAGCTGAGGGCACAGAAACCCCTACCCAGTGGCACAGGCCGGCGGCACACATTGGCTGAGGTCACTGCCCACTTCTCCCCCCGCACCCCGCCATGTAAGTGTACCATGTTTGACATGCTGGTGATGGGGACAGGGCCAGTTGGCTGTGCTTGTGACTGAGTGTGACAGGCTAGTTTATAGTGAATCTTGCCTGTCAGCACCCTCTTCTGATGAAGGTTTTCAGGGTCTGCCATGTCTGTCTTGTTGCTGAGGCCCTAAGACTGTCCTTAAGTGTGGTCATTACATTGGAGAGGTGTGGGGCGTATTCTGTACTGATGGCCACCCTGTGGCACTGTGGTGAGTGTTGGGTGGGTCTTTGGTTTACAGAAGTTAGCTGCCCATGGGGTAGCTTGCCCTGGAAGCCTCTGGCCATTGTCAGGCACCCACCCTTTCCCTCCAGGTCTGGGGGTTAAGATGTGGAGGAGGCTGGTTCAGTGGACTCTCCTGCATCCTCGTATAATAGAGCTATCAGACTAAGACCTGCAGACACCCTGTGGCTGGTGCAGCCGGTTTGAAACTGCTGTGTTTTCCTGCAGGCATTGTCATTTCCTCCTCCTGTGCTGCAGCAGCGGGCTCGTCTGAAGGAACCAGCTCAGACAGCTGCCTGCCCTTCTCGGCAAGCGACGGCCCTGTGGGGCTCAGCAGCCTGGCTGCCCAGGGGCTGGACGGCACCTGTTTGCCTCTCCGAGTGGCTGCGCCATGTGTGGGGGCCCATTCTGCCACCCCAGTCCTACAGGCACAGGGAGCCTTGGGCAGTGCCGTCCCGCTCCCTGTCAGCTTCCAGGAAGGACGGAGGGCCTCAGACACCTCACTCACCCAAGGTAACTGCTCCCTCACAACCTGTCTCCCCCTTCCTAGGAGTACCCATATCCCCAGAGGGCTTCATTTGTCCCTGGTGGCAATAACCTTTCTCTAACTGGCTTAGACATGTCCCTAGAGAGTGCAGATAACTGAAAGGTTGGAGGTTCAAGTCCACACAGAGGTGCTTTAGAAGAAAGGCATGTGGATCCACATTAAAAAAAAAAGCCTCTGCATGCCTCTAGTAGAGCACAGCCCTCTGACCTGCCTGGGCTAGCCATGGGTTCGTGTCACATCAGAGGCACCTGGTCTCAGGCTAGTGCATCTGTCATCTGGTCCTGACAGTGCCAGAGACATTTTGGGACTGAGCATAGTTCCCAGCTTGGATGAAGGAGGATCCCGGGGGAGGGACTTACTAGTTACAGCAGCCCCACCTGTCTGCCCCCAGGGACAGAATGCCCTGTGCCCCCTCCGTGGCTCGTGTTTCTTCCTAGAATATGTGTCTGTGCAGAACCTGCTGCCTGACCTCTGACCCTGGGGAGAGGATAGTGGTGGCAAACAATGATCAGGTGACCAGGAGTGTGCCTTTTGTCTAGTCACGTTTCTAACATCTTCCCTGAGCTGAGGAACATCCTATAAACCCAGGGCCTTCAACCCTGCACTTGGAGGCAGTGGTCTAGACAGCCGGTGATCTTGTCTCTCCCCAGGGCTGAAAGCTTTCCGACAGCAGCTGAGGAAGAGCACCAGGACCAAAGGGTTTCTGGGGCTGAACAAGATCAAAGGCCTGGCCCGCCAGATGTGCCAGCCCTCCTCCACCAGCCGGAACCCCAGAGGTGGCCTGACCTCCTTTCCACTCCCCTCCCAGAACACTGGTCCCTACAGCAGTGGGGGCAACAGCCGCGAGGGCCGAAGCTTGCTTGAGGCGGTGCTCCACCAGCAGAGGTATGAGCCCGCTGCCCTTCCCGCCCTATCTGTGACTTGACTTGCACATTTGGGGAGGTTTTTCCTCTTGAATAACTTGATCTCTTTAGCTCCTCCTTTGTACTGAGCATGCACACCTCCCAGCCTTCATATTTGGGGGAAAATTGTTAGGCTCAGGTCTGTCTGGAGTGGGAGGGGACCGGCCTCATCAGGTTCTGTCACTCTGAAGCCCCTGTGTAGGGACTGAGGGTGGAAGTGAATAAAAATGTCATGTATGGGTTGGCATCTTTCCACTGCTGTAAAAGCACGGTGTAGAATGGAAATGTCAGAAATTGCTCAGGGGATTAGTCACGCACAGCATTGCGTGTTCTGATCAGCTCCAGCCAGCCAGTTCCACCAGGGCGAGTTCCTGCACACCCAGCAGCACGGAAACCCGATCGGGGCTGCGAGCTGACGTGGAACAGGCTTGGCAGGTGGAGAGAGTGGGCAGAGCAGGGAGTGACCTGTGTCTCCTCCTCTCCTGTTCTCCAGGCTGCTCCAGTTACAGCACCACCCAGCAGCCCAGGCCAGCTGCCCACAGGCGCCCCCACTGCCCCAGGCTTCCTATGTCCTCGCCCCCTGTGATGGCTCCGGCGTTCCTCCACTCTCCAGCACCCTACTGGTGTCAGGACTCCAGAAGGAGCTAGTGCTGGGGCCTAGCCCACTCCGGCCAACCCAACTCTTCCCAGCTGCTGCCTCCCCCATGGCCTCGACGGCCCAACTTCTGGATACCCACCTGCACATCAGCTCCACGGCAGCACCCGTTGTCCCTGCTGTGACCTCACAGCCCCACTTTGCCATGCTGCCCCCTGGCTTCGACCCCGCCGGGCTGGCACAGGGGGACTGTGAGATGGAGGACCTCACGACGGGCCAGCTGGGCACCTTTGTGCTGGTGCAGTGAGGGTGCAGGCCTGGCCAATACTGACTCCTTGAAGCAATAATTTCAGAGTATGTGAAGATGTTTCTGGACTCAAAGCCAATAACCTTCTGGAAGTGACACAAGCAATACGTTAGGTGTTTGGGCTTTTTTGTTGATTTCCCATTTGCTTTAACTTTTCCCTTGCACTGAAAAACTGAGGCTGAGTAGGGATTGCAAGCTTCCAGAAGAAAAGTAATGATTGAGGGGTATCTCGTTGGGGTGGGTGGATGGGCAGGGCGGGGAAGAATGGAGGCTTGAGCTGAAGGGAGGGCTGAACTCTGCTGTTCTGGCCCTTGCCCCTCCGTGGATGGATAAGTTTCAGAGGGGCCGGAGTAGGGGTTCTCTCAAGCAGGGACCCATGGGGATTGTTATCGCTGAGGAGACGGGGTGTGTGAACCAGTCGTGCATCTATGGGACAAGCGGGCATCGCTGGCATGTGTGCTTGGATGCGTGCACACAAGCACATGGGTAGTGGTTTTTTTTTAAGTAGTTAACGATCCTCCACTTCCTGAGACATTTATGCTTTAAATGAAAACTGTGAACTTTATGCTTTATGTATTAGTTTTAAAAAAGCTCAAATAGCCCAGGAGAGGATTAGTGACAAACCTTTGGAATTCTCTCCCTTGAAGTCAGAACCCAGAGTATAGGTTTTGTTTTGTTTTGGGTTTGTTTTTTTTTTTCCATATTGTTGTTGATGGGAAATTTATAACCTGCACACGGGTTGGTTTTGCAGGGCTCTTCTGAAGAGCCCAGGAAGACCAGGAGTGGTAGGGTTGGGGACTGAGTAGTGGGATCCCCCTGGTCACATGGCGGGACCCCCCCTGCGCCTTTGAGGAGCCTTCTTCGTGCTGCACATTTTATTTCAGCTGCTAATTACGCTTTTATGCATTTCATTATCAGGGTCCAAAACGAACAACCGACTCTGGGGGGAACGTGCAATATTGTGAGGCTTTGATTGTACGGGACCGAGACGGGGGAGAATTGGGGTCACAGACCCCCACCCCTCTGGGCCAGGACCTGTCGGGTCCTGATCGTTTGGCTTTTCAAGGAAAATGAGATGATGTCTAGGTCAGTGTTTTTAAAGCCTTTTTCCTTTTTTTAAAACAAACACTGTATATGTATATAAATAGGATACAAATACACACTACTTATTTTTTATATTTTTTACTATACTTTTGTGTTTCTGGTTTCAATTTCCCTCTCTGGTAATGCTGAGATACATTTGAGTTAGCACCTGTTTAGTGTTGAGGAGGGGCTGAGGACCCTTCTTCCCTCAGAGAGCTGAGGGCTGGGGTGGCAGTCACCATAGGGAGGAAACCGTGGGGAGGGGAAGTGGGCTCCGGTGGTCAGAGCCCTCTGGGAATTTGAAGGGTAGCGCTGCACATTTTCTCTGTGTGGCCAGGTCCTCTCCCTTTGCCTAATCCAGGTGCCTTCAGATTACTTTGGCTTCTGACAACCTGCAGTATTACTCAAAGGTCATTAGGAAAGGGAGAAAGAGGGAATTTTTAAAAGCCAAAGACTGACCGAGTTACTGAGGGTCAGGAAAACGACTGCGTGGATGGGGACGCTGGTGCTGTTGGAACTTGGCTGCCTCAGGTCCACACATCTGTTTCTTTGCTGTTAGCCAGGTTTGCTGCTACTGTTACTGCTGCTGCTCTGTGGCTACACTCTAGATTTGGGACCAAGGACCATCCCTTGGTCCCTTGCAGGTGGCCCTGGTGCCTGGCCACAGAGAAAACACCAAAGTCTCCCATTAACTTGTAAAGAAGTTTCCCGATTGGGAGAGAATTCTCCACCCTCCTGGGGCAGCCCAGATCCATGCCTTCGTTTTCACAGAGGTAGCACAACTGATTCCAACACAGAACATCGTTTCCCCCTTTTACAAATAATTTCTGTTGCCGCGCCCGAGATCAAAGGCCCAGAAACTGGCCATGTTTCCTCTTTTAAGCAATGACAAGCACTTTACTTTGATAGTTTTGATTTTCTTTTTTTCTCTCCTCATTGCTGTAGAACCTCTGTTGGAGGACAAGAGCGCCGTGCGTCGTGTTTTTGTTTCTTGTTTATATTTTTTTTAAAAGCGTGTATGCTGTGTGTTTTGTAGATTTTCTGACAGTGCAGATTTTCAGACTGCAACTGCAGTAGCCTATTTAAAGACACTACAAGGTGGAAGATGTATATAGTTTTCTTGCTTTTTTTTTTTTTTACACCCATACCTGAAATTATTTTATTTCTTATGTTAAAATGAGAAATGTATGCCAAATGATTAGTTGATGTTTGTTTTTTAATTTAATATTTAAATAAAATATTTGGGGGACAAACCTTGGCTCTCTCCTACCTCATCAATTTCTTGACTACCATTCTCCAAGATTGTTGAATTTTTAATCTTGCAGAGGAGTGTTCTTTGGAGACAAGGATGATGAAGCTTTGCCTCACTTTGAGCATGCTGCTAGCGGGAGCTATTCCTTGGAGAGGGACATGATGCTGGGAAGGGTGGAGGGTCGGCGAAGGAGTGGAGGACCCTCAACCAGGTGGACTGACATGGTGACTGCTGCAGTGGGCTCTTGTGTGTCAGGAAGTGTGAGGATGGCGCAGGATAGAACAGGGTTCAGATCTTTTATTCACAGGGTTGGTATGACTCATACTCAACTTGGGCAGCTAACGACAACAACAACACAGAATGGTATCTTCAACTCCGCAGCACTCAGCACTTCTCCACAGCCGCTCTCTCAGCCATAGCAACAACCGAGTGATCTGGGACAGGGTGGTAGCATCTCACTCTGCTAAGTCACTCAGGGTCTCAACATGCAGGTCTATTTTCAGCTGTTTCTTTCCCTCCCACAGCCCCATTCACAGTTTTTACTCCTCCCATAGTTTCCTCAGATACTGCTTAAAAACAAGGGTTTACACAAATCTCCCAAGCAAATGATTTTCTGGTGTGCAAAAGTTGTGGTGCAGTGTTGTATTCTCACCTTCCTGGGGACCTGGGTTTGATTCCTACCAGAGGCCCTCATGAACAGCCACTCCCTGTTGTCACTGGAGACTTGTGGGTCTTGCTGAATAGGTCTCAGTGGCGCTTCCAGATAAGATGGACTTGGAGAAAGTCTGGTGATCTACTTCTAAAAATCCATGAAAACCCCTTGAATCATAATGGTTGATCTTGCTGTGCAGGTTTCCCCGTGTGTTAGGACTCACTCCACGACCATGAACAATAGCAATAGGGCAAGTGTGAACTTGCTAAAATCTGCTTCCTAACTGAAAGGTGAGAGGTGTGAGTCTACCTTGAAATACCTTGGAAGAAAAGCCTGGAAATCTACTTTTAAAAGATCCCAGCTCCTGAAAACCCTGCAGAGCACAGTTTCCCCTGACACACATGGGGCTGCCATAAGCTGGAAGTCGACTCAGTGGGGATTGGTATGGTGGCAATATGGTAGGCATGTCTGCTTATAAAAACAAAGGGTTATGTTCATTTCAACACTTGGCACTTTTTGTTGTTGTTAAGTTTCTTTTGACGGATGCAGTACCAAGTGAGTAGGCGATAGCTTCTGGGTGGGGACTCAGGGCTCATGGACAGGGGACCCTGCCACAGGCATGTATCTGGGAAAGAGGATGAAAAGCGCTGTTGAGCTAGGCAGTCAGAGTGGGTGAGCTTCCACTGCACGCCGATAATGCAGTAATGACGGCGCCTTGACAGGCCTCCAGCCCTTCTGACAGCCTGTTGTGTGAGCCTCAGATGGAATTAGACAAGACCTAAGTGGCTGGCACAGATCCCCAAGGTTGCTGGAAGAGCCTCTTAAGGCCTCCTAAGCAAATGTCTCCTTTTTCTGAAATTGCTGCTGGCTAAAGAACAAAGTTGGAACTTTTAAAATTAGCCAGCTGGGTTAATATTGACTTTGTGAGTTTTGAGGCCAAATCAGACTGTATACCTCCATGGAGGTTCACCAAACCTAGTGAGGAAGTATTTACTCATCCCTCAGTTGTATCTGGAGGCCCCTTGACAGCAGATCGCAGCCAGGCCAGTGGGGTTCTGAGGGATCTCGGGAACCTTGGCTTGGCCTCACCACTCAAGGAAGTGCGGTCAGAACCCTGGCATTGCATTTGGACTTTGTAATCCAAATGTCCTAGAAGATTACAGGCTTGATGTATTAACAGAAAAAAAGCATATTTCTTGTCTAGCAGAGTGGGTCGGGGTGGTTCAGTGGTAGGATTCTTACCTTCCATGTGGGAGATCCAGGTTCAGTTCTTGGCACCCAGAGAAAGAAGGACCAGACAAACAGCTTCTGAAAAAATCAGCCCATGAAAGTGCTATAGAACACAATGGTCTAATTAATGACCAATCGTGGAGATGCCCCAGGACCAGAGAACATTTCCTTCCATCGTGCTTGAAGTCACTATGAGTCAAGGGTCAACTTGATGGCAACACTGAGGACGTGGAATGCTGTAAAATGAAAGAATGTGAAAGGGAGCTCTGGTGGCCTAGTGGCAAGAAGCTGTGCTGCAATCCTGAAGGTGCACAGTTTGAATCCACCAGATGCTTCATTGGAGAAAGAGGGGCAATCTCCTCCTTTGCCAGTTAGGTCTGATTCGATGGTACACAATAAGAAAGATAAAACAACAACAACAACAAAACAATGTGAGGCAATGTCTCATGTTCAAACCTTTGGCTCTATTTGGTTTTCCTATTTGCATTATATTGGTTAATAACTTGATGTACGTGTATCATGAGTCCCAACTAAATGCTCAGCTTTTGAGGGAACAGTGACATCTCAGTGTGTTCAAGTAGCACCAGCATGCTGTTTGCATGTGATGCCTTGCTCATCCATCCTGTTTCATGAGCTTGGCAGGTTTTCTAGAAGAGGCAATGTGCCATCATCATCATCATCAATTTTAATAAACAGTGCTTCTTACAATTTTAAGTTGCTAGTTGGAAGCCCTGCTCAGGCAGCCTAATGGAAACCTTGTGAGACTCTTTAGGATTCTGGCCT